GAAATAATGTAGTAGTACTCATTCATTACTTCTTCCTTCCACCAAAGTGGTAAAAGTTAATAACTATTCTTAGTTCTCACATCCATAACTGTGAAACATTCAGACACAGAACCCACAAGTTATTTGCAAATGTAGCCTAGAAAACAGAAGGTCAGGGCTATGCAGAACGTTGGACCATCCCTAATTGGCCTGCCCTTCCTAGCGTACTTCACATCCACATAGATACAACCAATCAACCAGACATAGCTGCTATCGTATTTAACAAACCAATTTAATTAAAACATAGATTGTGTCTATTTTTAGACGTCATTTCCCAGGCTATCTACGTCAGTAGTATAATACATCAATACTAGAAGGTAAAGGGTTAGGCTTGGCCTTTGGATTCAGCACTAGAGTCCAGTTAATTCATATTTTCGATCAATAAACAATCAACTAAAGTCTGACACGCACATCTGCTAGATATTGATCAATATTAAATTAGGTGTCACTATCTTTCTATATATAAGTTTTGGTTAGCCTACTTTCAGTGGCGTGTATATTAAAATGGGGTGGGGTTGATGAGGGGGCATGATGGTGAAGTGGAAGGACTTGATGAAATAGTGAGGGGATGGTGACTGGCAAAATAAGATGATATCAGATCATTTTTTAACTACATATAAGCGTAAGATTTTTGCTTCAAAAATTTCAAGTGGCGAGGAGGATGCGATTGTAGGCATGAGCTATCTTGTGGGGCCCACTGTCTAAATTAAAATAAATTATATTCTGCACATCTCAATGTGTCCAAAATGCCAAAATGAAAAACTATAAACTCTATATCTAATGGTAAAAATATAGGCAGTAGAGTCAATATTGATGAATACACAGACCCAAGCCACATTAGGCTAATTTGTCGGAAAATACATTTCTCAACTCTTTATATCAAAATTATTGTTTTGAAAACTATGCCTCATGATCTCTTATGAAAAAGAGTTGTTACATTCTAAAGTACTCTCTCACATACATTTAAAACATTAACCTGCCAATCAACTTAAAACCCACAAATGTCAGTTTTGCCATAGCAGATATGATTGTTTAGTTGGCCAAATGACAGATCATTGAGGCAAATCTCCAACTTCATTGGCAAAATCAGTAGTTTCTCAGACTTCTTGCCAACAAAACTCAATCACCAAGTTAAAGATTCCAAGCATTTTTTGGCAGACTAATCCCTGATTGGCTAATTAATGCAGCTACATTCCCTCCCCTCCCCAACCCTGCCAAGGTACAGTACCAAAGGTCCAAAATAATTTTGGTATCAAATATCATTTTAAGAATTATTTTACTGACTTGTAAATGTATTTTAAATAATTGTTTTACTATTTGTATTTAAATTACTTTCCTACATAATTGAAACCATTGATTTTAAAAAGAGATAAGGAGAGAAAAATGAAAACACAACTGCAAGCAGTGATGCATACCATTTAGCACTGTGCAAGTATAGTCAAGAGGTTATGCACAGTAGCTGAAGATGATGATGATGAATAAAATATTTTATAATGCAATGTAATGTTTTTTATCTTATCTTTATATTTGTATTGTACATGTCCATTTATATGTAAAGTTGTTCTTTCTGGAAAGCCTCTCAGCTGGTGTAATTCAAGATTGTGCTGGGGGGTGGTGGGTTCTGAACAGCACCTGAAGTTGAGGATGAATAAAAAATTTAATATTTTAAATGCAATGTAAGCTTTTAATGTTTTTTTTTATCTTTCTTATCTTAATATTTGTATTGTTATATCCATTTGTTTTCCAAGTTCCAAGACTGCTATTTTTTTGATAACATTAATGTATATAGGATCTGTGATTTAGGTAATCGGACGTACCAATCCCTAGACCTAAAAAATCGGGAGAAGGAAGAATTTGCAGGCAAAGGGTGGGCCCAAAACCCACCAATTAGTGAAAAGCCTTCAACGTCAAAATATTCTGATAGCATTAATGTCTTTCGTGGTTTATAAACATAATTTATAAGATACCTATTCGATTTTCATTCATGTGGCCTAGTAATTTCACCTATTTTATCATGCAAATCCCATGTTTTTTAACTTGCGGCACATTAAATGAGGCAAATCTAGGCCTAGCCTAGTCCTAGATTTTAAAATTCAGGGGAACTTGAACAAATTCGGGAGACCGGGAGATAGCCTGTAAATTCTGGAAACTCCCGATCGAATCAGGAGGGTTGGAACGTTTGGGTAATCCAGCCTAATTGAATTACTCTGTATTGTTTTTATAAAAGTGAAATTAATTATATAAAATGAGCAAAATTCTGTATATAAATGAAACATAATAGTCAGTGCTGGGTATGTGTTTATTGACAGTGGCTGATAAATCTGTCATTGTTATCGGATTGGTATGCAGATGACAGAGCATTTTTGCATTTGAACTACTCTACCAAGGACAGGATTAAAATCACAATAGGCAGACCATACACCACAAATATTTTCCTGTTTAGAGATGACGTATACTCAGTCAATCCTTTGTATAAACTAAAATTTTAATCATTTCTGTGACGACAATTTGATACAGTGACAATTAATTTTGGATGAGTTGTGACATATACAGTATGGAAGAAGGTTTCAGATTAGGTCATCAATCTGCTCTTTTTGATCTTTTTTAGAACTGACATCTGAGAATTGATCCTCAGACCTTAAAGATATACAGTATACAGTCTGAATCTATGGTAAAATCTAGGGGTAAACCCTTTAAAAATTCAATTAGAATATTGGATTGCAGAGAACAGTGCCAGTTATTTTTGAATGAGTTAAGACATGCATGGTAGAAGGTTGTAGATTAGGTCATCTGTCTTCTCTGTCTGATCTATTCTTAGCAAATGACATTCTAAAATTTAATCTTCAGACTTTTAAGATATACAGTACTACAGTACTTTCTGTCTATGGCAAAATCTAGAACCTTAAAAATTCAATTGTTACTATAATTAATATATAATATATAATATTGAATTGCTACTTTAAATTACAATTAACTTACAATGACCATTGGCAGAGTCACCAGTATGGAATAGAGGGGACTCAAGGAGAGACTTTCACAGATTGAGGGTCAAGACCACCTCATCCCCTCCATGGTGTGGGGGAGGGGGGAATTATTTGATTGGCACTTCTAGATGCCAGGAAATGACACTCTTTTTCACTCACTCACTCACTTTTTTTTTCTTACTTTTTTTATAATCTTTTTTTTAAATTTTTTTTCAATTTATAGGGGTGGGGAGAAAGGCTGGCTGGGCCTTAAGTTAAATCTGTGACTGAATACACAAATTCAATTTTTGCCAATTTACAGTACACAAGTTTTACGACCTCCCTCCACTTTGGGAAGTAGTTCTAACAACTCTGGAAATAGAATTCAACACTTCACCCCAAACCATGTTGTATTTGTATAATATTCGCACGAAGCACTTCAACATTGATTTTATTTTTCAGCTTTTGCATATCAACTTTGATATCCATTGACTGTCAATTATATCAAAATCTGCCTACCCTTCATTAAAACAAGTAATATTTGAATTTCTCTTTATAAAAATGCTGGTAGAATTTTGAAGTTATTGTCAAAAGTGTTTTCCGGTCAAAGCAGCTATACACTCGCTACATGATATTGATGTTTTTAGCAAAACATTGATTTTATTTTTCAGCTTTTGCATATCAACTTTGATATCCATTGACTATCAATTATTTCAAAAGCTGCCTACCCTTCATTAAAACAAGTAATATTTGAATTTCTCTTTATAAAAATGCTGGTAGAATTTTGAAGTTATTGTCAAAAGTGTTTCCGGCCAAAGCAGCTATACACTCGCTACATGATGTTGATGTTTTTAGCAAAACATTATTGCATTAAATATATCACAAATACCAGCAAAACTTTCAAATGAGTGGCGCCTTCCCATTGCTGGGTTCTGGTTCGGACATGATTTTTTTCTTATGAACCAAAATTAACTCCACTCCTTAAAGCATCTCATGTATACATCTACTGTATGTGGGCTGCCTGATTTGGGGATTGCGACTGTACGTGAATAATATTTTTGCTGCTGGATATGAAATTCTATTTATTTAAATGCTGTTTCAATGTTCTTAATTCTTAAATACATCTCCATCCATGATATTTCCCTGTGTTTCTCTCTTTGGTTTTATACCTCCATGGTGAAGTATATATATTATCTTGACAGGTTTTTTTTCAGTAGTTTTAAATGTTTGTATAAATTATTTATCTTTTGATGTGTCTGTTATATATTTTGTTATATATTTTTACTAATTTTTACCTGTATATTGTGGATTTGTTTCAGTGTTAAACTTTTATGACAAATAAAGTTATCTTGAATCTTGAAATACTGGCCGGAATGTGGGATTTGAAATCCATGCACAAAATGTTAAACCCCTACACTAAATCTTGCATCCTTGCTTTACCTACACCTCCATTTATCCTTTCAGAAATACAATGTAACTCTGCATAAATTTCTTTTTTAAAGAATGGCACTTTGTTCGATTGTGCAAATGTTTTTGAACATTTACTCTATTTGTTATTGTATGGATTGAATTGAATAGTATATATCCAAAACCATCAACTCGTCACTCAAACTTTTAATACCAGCACTTCAGACCACAGAAAGGAAGTCATGGAAAATGCTAGAGGAGATATACACTAAGCTAATAGATGGAAATGCATAACAGATGATAATGAGCACATATACTGAATATATGTACTACATTCATTCAAAAATGCAAGAAGTTTGTACATACTAAATATATGTATTGTACATCTACTGTACTTTTTTCATACACAAGACATCTTGTCTATACATGCATTATCATTTCTTCATTATTAAAAACTCAATACCAGTAATAATAATGTAAAGTGAAGACTTATTCAGGTTTGATATTTTATTAACAATGTACTTGGGAGTACTAATTAAAGCTAAAGTTAACTTATTATTGAGCTTATTCGATTTGAATGTAATTACTTACTTAGGCTGAAAATAAAGGCATCATTAAGGGCTTCATTGCCATTGTAACCACCATGAATTAGAAGTCTGTTGCCAGGCAACCGGCAGGATGCATGCCAACTAAAAGCAAGAATCAAGAAACCATGAAAGCTATTATGTATGAATATAAATGGCAAAATATTCTTTAAATATATTTAAAAATTCTAGCATATCATTGATTGAACCAATACTGGGATAAAAATAAGTCTGTTGCCAGGCAACCGGCAGGATGCATGCCAACTAAAAGCAAGAACCAAGAAACCATGAAAGCTATTATGTATGAATATAAATGGCAAAATATTCTTTAAATATATTTAAAAATTCTAGCATATCATTGATTGAACCAATACTGGGATAAAAATAAGACCACATTATTACATAAAGTATTACAATATACAAATTAAATCCCTATTTTAAAAACTGATATTCATATTATTCTACAATTAATTCTAATGTTATCAAAAGAGAAATTTTAAAATATATAAAAAAAAACTTTTCTCCAAAATTTAATTATTTACCTTCTTGGAGAGGGCGCTGTTCCAAGTGTAGCTGGTGTTGAGAACTCCATTAAAGCTGCACAAAAAAAAGTAATTTAAGCCAATTCATAGTTTGAACTGCGCATGCCCATATCGTAGGTCAACTGACCTTGCTACAAGCATGCACAGTCCAACTATGAATTGGATTATTCAATATTAAGTCTGAGCTACTGAAATGAATTATTAAAATTTAATTATAACGTATGAATATTTTAGAGATTCTGGGGAAAAAAACTTCATTTGAGTTCGGCTTTTCCAATAACAAGTAGTGCGGTTAAATAATGACTAGATTTCCTAATATTATTATAAAATCCTTTTTGGAATAATTTCAAAATTAGAGATTCTGGGGAAAAAAACTCCATTTGAGTTCGGGTTTTTTCCAATAACAAGTAGTGTGGTTAACTAATGACTAAATTTCCTAATATTATTATAAAATCCTTTTTGGAATAATTTCAAAAACTGTTTATTTGCTACACAGGTAATTTTATGATCCAAAATTGAGCCAAGAAAATGATTCAATTAATGCTATGTTATGACAGATAAAAACACTAGTAACCTTGATCAAACAAACAACATCATGATGTTGATCAAAGCCACAAATGTTGGCTGGTAAGCTCATAATCTTTTCTTTCTTTGTTTTTTATTGCCAAAATTATCTACATATATTGACAGCAGATACACTTTTAAACATTGTATATTGTTGATAATAATTAACAGATGTTTTAAATACTTCTTTTACATTTATAATATATATATTTCCTATTTTGTAAAACCATGTCAATTACTATCTAATAAGGAAGCAATTAATTAAGGATTCTAAAAATAACGACTGAAACTGTTCATTAACGTGAATCCTGTAACCTCTACAACGGTTCTCAACAATGGATATAATCAATGGATTGTATACATAATTTGTGTCACTAATATTTCTTTTAAATTCAAAAGGAAATTTGTAACGCAAAAGAAAGCCATGGACTTACAAGTGAATGGTCAGGAATATAAATACAATGTAAATCACATTGCTTTATTGAAGGCCAACTCAAATAGTGTCATACGACACAACACAATGTAAATTTTTTGTTGCGCTGTGGCTGTGAGTTAAACACATGCAATAGATCTCCACTATAGGGAGTCACATCATTAATATTAAACATGTTTAATATTCTCACGATGAGCTAACGACTCTCCTGCGATAAATCGGGCTGGGTCGTACGACACTGAGTTGGCCTTTATGCTAAGCCTGCACTTGTCTCTGTCTCTCTCCACCCAGGAGTAAAATTTATTTGGTGATGAGCTAACTGCCTTCCCCTATGGGTGGGGATGAGATTGCTTATGATGGCTGTTTATATATCCAATGACCGAGGGTGATAATTACTGGCTTTGGAATAGGTTACCAGACAGATGCAGCATTATAAATGCTGCATATTTATTATTTACACTTTCTTCTTTGTTATGTACAGTTTTGATCAGCTAGGCCTAGCCTATATGAGGCTTGCCATCAGGGGTTTAGCCAGAAAAACGATATAGGCCCTCCAAAATGGAAGCCATTGAGCCACGCCATGGGAATCCCCATCGAATACTGAATGGTACTAAAAACAACGTACATTCAATCAATAAATGTTGTTTTTATCAAACGTAAATATGATTTAGCTTTAGTTTAATGTAACATTCGATAGATTTGAAGAATATAGAGAATTTGCTAAAGGTAAACCAGGGCCAATGAGCCTAGGCTGAGCTGATTAGGCCAAGCCGTCCAAGCCGTCACGGTAAAAGTGGCCGTCCTAAATAATTGTAGGCCATCCAAAAGACGGCCGGACGGCTCGCTGGCTAAGCCTATGCTTGCCATCCCAAAACCAGCATCAGTCACCAAAAAAGGAAAAAACTGACTTTTTAATATATTCATGTTCTCCATTGTAAGCTTTATAATGATGGGTTTACCGAAATTGACTTATTATTGCCAAAGTTATGAATAAAAGTATTAAAGACTTCTCTGTACAAAAGTATACAATATTGCCACATCAAATACTCTAATTACGCTAAATTATTCACTTTAACAATTAGCAACAGTACACTGGTTTTGGAATGGCAAGCCTCATGATCTTGAGCTAAAAAACTTTTGTGGTTTTCCTAATATTTTTATCACCATCACCATTAAAATAGTATTCAGGGATTTCGTACTTAGATCTAGGATGATGAGGTCGTTGAAACACAAGGGGGCATCCCAACCGCCAAAAATAACCATTTGATCACCTATGACGGTTGCCGAGTGTCTGGAAAAATAAAAAGTATCATTATTATTTGAGAAAACATTTATAATCAAGCTTTTCTCACATTCAAAAATTAATTCAAAATCAACATTTTAGTACATCTCCCAAGGAATTATACAGTACTGTAGGTTTTCAATATGGCATTACTTCATGTGCTTTATACTAGCCTGGGGGCATCCTAACCACCAAAAAAAACCATTTGATCACCTTTGACTGTTGCTGAGTGTCTGGTAAAATAAAAAGTATCATTATTACTTGAGAAAACATTTTATAATCCAGCTTTTCTCTCATTCAAAAATTTAATCAAAATCAAGATTTTAGTATATCTCCCAAGGAATTATACAGTAGGTTTTCAATATGGCATTACTGCATGTACTTTATATGACTAATGTATTACTATATTATTAAATTAAAGGTTGGATGGAATAATGTTTTGCCATACCTGATGTCTTATCGTACTATAATTCTCAGTACGACCCTAAATACTTGCGAAAAAAATCTCGCAAGTGATCTGGTAGGGGATCAAACCTACGACTTCCAGATAACTAGCCTGGTGTCTTAACCACTAGACCACCAAGCTTGCGCTTAGTGACTAGTGTTGAACTCGACCCCAAGTAGCAGCAGGTACTGCAATGCTATTTGAATGTGTTTTACGTCAGCAGATTTAATGGGAATGATGTTTTCCTCAAACCCAACGTGTTATTGTACTGAATGGTAAGTACGTTCCCAAATACTAAAAAAACACCATCAAATAAATTAAAAGGATATATATTTATATTGGTCTTATATAATATGTGGGACCATAATACAAAATGGAAATCATATAGAGCTTCCTAGGGAAATATTTGATGTTGATTTTCAATTAGAAATCATTGTATAGTCATTAGGCATCCTAATCAATACCAGTATGCTGTTATTTCATTTATATTGATTTGTTTAATGAACATAGAAAGCTTTCTATCAGCATATGATTATCATTGCATAGAGTTGAGTGCTGTATTACAGCAAGGCAACTAAATTATTCAACAATCAACTGGGTATACAATCAAAATAAACCAGTAGATGGCAATGTTTGTACAGTGATCATCTCATCGCTCTGTGGCGATTTGCATCCCTCATTAAACTGCATTTGTACATTTCAATGTGAGCTAATTTATCTAAAAGCATTAGAAATGCTCCTCAATTTTTTTTTTTTATCATTCAACAAATCAATTGGGTATAGAATCAAATAAACAAGTAGATATGGCACTGTATCATGGCATTGCTCTGGGGTGGTTAATCTGCATCCCTCATTAAACTGTATTAGGACATTTCAATGCGAGCTAACTTGGGCCAAGATAAAAAAATAGTTTGTTTCTGGTCCAGCGCCCAGGTGGAATTTTGTTTTCACTGTCCACCCGTCCACAAGAGAAAAAAGAACTTAAAAAAATGGAAATCTTCATCAACGATCACAAATACTAGGCCTAGTATCAAACACCTCATACCAGCATCAATATAAAAAGTGTTTTAATTTTTTGGGCTTATCAAATACAAAAAAAGCATGAAATGGGCATTGGCATGGGGAGGTTTATGAGAAGCTAATTCTATTGAGGCCATTGAATTGTTTTCAATAGGCAATTACAAAAACAAGGGTAAGCCTATTCACACTCGGTTAAAAAAAAGACCTCCCTCCGTACTGTCTATTTTATTTGGCCACCCGCTGGACAGGAAACAATTTTTCAGGATGGCCTATCTAAAAGCATTAGAAATTTTACCCATGGACTACTGGGCTTCAAAAAAAAGGTAAAAACCACAGAGGAAAAATCATGAATTTTTTACATATATAGTGTATATAGCATGTATTGTAGGTAGCAAACTCTGTTCTTTAGACCTGTTATCATTGCAGTCGATAGAAATGCCTTCTGACAACTTTCTTTTTGTCTTAAATTGTAATTAGGTCATTCAGCAAAAATAATTAATGAGAATTATGAACAAAATAATTATTAATAAAAAGCACCTAAATTTCATTTCTGCTTCATTTTGTACAGTGTAAAATCAAGTCACAACCAACTTTCAGTATCTGCATCTCGCTATGTTTGATTTTTAAAAGGAACAGAAATATTGAGGGCTAACTAAAGTTTTGACATTAAATACAACATAAATTATACAATTATTATTATTATTATTTTAAAAATATTTCAAAATATTTTACCCAGATCTTGGTGTTGGTTTTTTCCCATTTACAATAGGTTCATACCAATTCTGAGTATCTGAAATATATATAAAAAAATTCTGTAACATAGAGGGCAGTATTCTACTTCATAAGAAACAGCATTATGGTATTGAATCATTTTTAACACAATTGGCCGCTTTCTGCTTGTATGTCAATGGTTGAAATATATGCTACTCTCAAATTTCTGTCTATTAACACTTTATAAGCTGTAATTAGAGTAAGGAAACTACATTAGTTATAATAACATAGTAGAATCAGATGGAATAACAGACGTTATCTGATACACATCACAAGAATAAAAACAAAAAGGGTTATATTTAAATAAAAAACATGTATACCTAAACGATAGATTAGCAATTGATTACTACAACCATCTGGTTTCGGATCTGGATTTGGGAAGACGCCACCAAACACAAACAACTCATCACGAAACAGACAGCTACTGTGGTACGCTCTTGTGGGGGCTCTACCAATTGCCTGCAAAAAAACAAAAATAAGAGATTTAGTAACAATAATAGCAGTAAAGAGTTCCTGATTGGTGCTACTAGATCAGAGGTGTTGCAGACTATTAAGCATCAAGCATTATATAGAAACATACGATATGGTAGAATTTTAAACATGTTCAAAAGCATGTAGTCGTATAGTGGTAGCGCAGCCTATCGTAAGCAAAATCGCAACGTGTGGGACCAGCTTAAGTCTCAACATGCTTTTAACTTTTTCAATTGTAATAGAAGGAAATGCTTCTTATACTCTCTATATACTTCCAAAATGTATGTTGGGGGGGGGGGGGGGGGGGGGGGGGCCAAAGACACATGGCCGTCCTTTACAGGATCCATTGACAAAATCACTGCTGGTGTTCGCTTGAAATCAAGGATTTACCATTATGCTTTACAAATGTATTCAGTTAATTTTTATATCATTTTATGTTTTTTTTAGTTTTGTTTTATCGCTTAAAAGACTAACTTCCTGAATCCCAGGGTAGGACCCTGGAGGTACTCTTCCTCTGTGTCAAAAGAATCCTGGACCTCATCGTGGGCACTCATATCCCTGGATAGGCGATATATAACCTAATGCTGAGAATGTCTAACAATTACCCAACTAATTAATTATGAGCTAGAGTGTTTATGGGCCAGAATCACGAGGTAATTAATTCATTTTTCGGGGGCCTGTCGGCCTGACTTTTTTGACCACCTGTAATATATAGTGCATGTATGCTGTGGTGTATTCAAATTTTTTTCAGGGAATATATTATTTTTGCTTACAACATAAGGTTGGAGAATTCAGTGGAAAGCTGTGAGAGGTGAAACTTGGATTATGGGGCAACACATCAGATGCAGAGACCAGTCATACATGGGAAATCGTGTGATAGAATTCAAAGTTGAAACCAGGAAGAGAAGAATGCAAAAACGGAGGTGTAGCAATTGCATCTATGTGGATGTTAAAGCAGCTGAGCTAACAGAAGCGAGGAAAATGTGGAGGACGGAAATCTGCACAAGTGAACCCAATCAGAGTGGGAACAATGCTTCTTCTTATCGAGTGTATTCACGAGTTCATACTCTATGGAGCCATGTCGACGTAGTTCTAAAAACTCGACAATACGATTTTCGTGTATAATGTTAAAAGGATTGGTAGGAACATGGACATGGCGTGAACGCTCCTTTCTTTACCCCAGAATGAAGCAAGAAGTAAAATATTTTTTGTTTATGTTGATTGTATAAATTTATTCTATTAATAGAATCAGAATTAAAGAAAATTATTTGCCAATTAATTCTGTTCAACACTGAATGAACAATTTAAATTAGATTTGATGATCACCAACTACCTAATTAGTCAAAAGGTCATTCAATACAGTACAATCAAACTTCCTGTGACTTCTCACCTTCACCAAAGACCACGTCCAAGTTTTCATATCCAGAACATGAATGTCGTTGTACCACCGCAAATTCTTTGAACCACCAAATACATACACACAGTCAACTCGGGGGTCATAGGTTACAGTATGTCCCACTCGATACTGAGGCTTGTGGGAATCAACCTTGATTGGTGGCTCTGTCCATATAAGGCCATCTACAAGAAAATAATTATTCAAGAAATATTAAACATAATATGATGACTTACAGTATCACTGTCTGCACTATAAGCTTTCATATGACAATTAGTATGATTAGTTCATATATGGTCATATCACACTGATAATATGAGTAAATCATAGATATTTGTCAGCTTAAAATAAACAAAATTGCTCTTAAATTGTCAATATTGCAGGGAAGAGTAGAATTAGTTGTAAATGTATCAAGCGGGCCGTACACTGTGTTGACAGTCACCGGTCCACATAATTTCATGAAAACAGGAACATAACAAGGAACATGTGTTGGCTCATTTCCAATGACAATAAACTCGTATTGCTCCCGAGAATCAGCAGATGGTGTTGTGTTGTCGATATATGGATTTATCCGATAAGGAATTTCTCACATTTAAAAACAATAGAAATTATCCAATGTTTTCTAACCTTTTTCCAACACCCACACCGAGTCTCTACTAAGCGTCTGCTTTGCACCTTGTCCGCCAACTAACAGCATCTCACCAGCAGTTGTCTTACAGAATGCATGGCCCCATCTACAACTAGGAGCTGTCAAGAAACAATATGTCATAAAAATAAATTAGCTATAAGTAGTGATATATCTGGGCTTATTAACATGGAGAGGAGCCTATGGGGCATGATATTAAAGAGGGTGGTGCTATGCTATCAGAATGTTTATTTAACTACTTAAAATGGACTATGTCAGAATTGAACCCCTATCACCACCATCCTTTAATAAGACTAATGGAAAGTTGACAGTTGTAAGGATTAGTACCCAGGAGTCTGTGGTTGAAAGGATAGCACCACTAAACTACAACATCCTACATATAAATATAGTATGATTATTATTTTTCTCAGTCTGTAACATATAGATGCATATAACAAAAAATACAATCATTGTTAAATGATCAAACCTTACCTTGCATGTCAGACTTATTCTTAACAGTACTCAGAGTTTTACCGACTGCTGACTTCGTCCCATTCATATTTTTCTGGTTCTTTACCCCATTAAAGAGTTTTGTAGAAGTTTTTCTTTTTTGTGATGATGGTACGTCCTCAATTTCTTTGGAATTTCTTTTTCTTCTGTAAGTTTTGTTAGGTGCACTTTTGGGGGTTGCTGTGGTAACCTACATAGCATAAACAAATTACACCAATAAGCCTTGTAGTTTTATTAAGCTAGCTTACCTATGTCAAGTTCAACTCACATAAACAAATTTCTGTACTATAGTTGCTGATCTGAATTTTCTGGTTGGTGAAGAGCAACAACTGTAAATTTTATAAATATGCAGACGATAATGTAAGCCATATTATTGTTTGCTTATGTGACTTGATCTTTTACATAGTAACGAGAATACAAAAGTGATTAGATTGACTTGGCAAGGAAAAACTTTATCATTCTGATTTTTATTTGAAACAAAATAGTTGCCAACTTAAGAAATTAAGAAATTTACATATTTGTATATATATATTTGTAAAGTTTTTTAAGCATATCATAGACAGTGTATCTCTAAAACAACATTATAATAACAATAATAAATTTTATATATTAAGAAATAAAAAATCAGGGTGATCTGGATAATTTAAACCCAAAACAGATACCCGCATCACATCAGTGTTGAAAAGTAATTATAAATATATAGTTAGCCAAAAGATGAAGCACATCTGAAGTCATACCGGTGTAACTTCAGTCAGAAGATTCCTCTCATAGGTTTCCATCTTATCATCCGGCAACCAAGTATCTGTCTGCGCCAAGACATCTGGTAGTTGATCTGTTTAACATTAGTAATAATAAATAATTTACAAAAATCTCTTGTTACAGCCTATGTTGACATATTTCTAGAGCCATAACATTTGTCAATATATTGAAAGACAGATATCTAGGTCAATACATACATAGAGTGAGACTTTATTAATACCTTGAATAACAAACTTATTTTTTTTTAATGATCGTCAGAGGAAGGTGGAAAAAAAATTTTAATTATGTTTTCTTATTCAGCAAAATAATTTTGCCAAAAGAATATAGGCAGAAGAGAATAAAGATAAAATTTTATTGATGAATGTAAACATTGTACTACTGAGATTAATAAATGCTTTAAATTTTTAACATTGCATTCTGCTGTGCGGCTGTTCCGTGGAAAAACAATGTAATTGTTTTTATATTTTTATTAGGTTACATTGTTTTGCCTTGGAATGGCCATGTGGTTATTGGCACTATTCAAATCCTTGATTGATTATATATTTAAGGAAAAAATATTACATCTTATTTTTGAATATTTCAAGGGAGCAGCGGGCGTTATATAAACAAAATAAATTTCTTTTTATTTTTTTCTTAAATTTTCATATTTTCTTGGCAAAGGGTGGACTAACTGGCAGATTTTTAAAAATTTTATTCTAAATCAACATTATTGGCAGGTGGAGGGTTTTTATACAAGGCATAAACAAGTCTTGCCTAAGCTCTATATTGTTAATGGTGATATTATCTGGCTATACTATACAGTAGGTCTACTCTGGAGAAAAATAAAATGCAATGTAATAACACAAACAAAATAGCTACTAATTATAAACAACTGTAGAAAATGAAAATCTTTCTAGTTTATTGGTGACGTCAACTGTGAAAGGCCTGCATTGCTCTCATAACACATATTGCCCAAATTTACTTACATGTGACTATGAGATAGATCAACAATGATACATCCTGTTATTAAAGTGCAACTAATAGACAATAATGAGATGTTGCAACAATATCCTATGATCCCACTTCTGACACTATGGAATATAGGCGTGCATTCAGCTAAAAACATTTAATTTTTTTTCTGAAATTTCCATTTTATCATGGCAGAGGGCGCATTGACACTGGCAAAAATACAATACAAGATCAAATGATATCCTGCTTGTGGCAAAACCAAAAACGGAGCTATCTGAAATAACCCTATTCAATGTAAATCAACAACTGCTCCTAATATTTATACTATTAAAAGACTAATAAATAACTGACAGGATTAAATATTTTAAATAAAGATAAAAAAACTTTAAATTGTTCTCATTTTCATGACATCACTTTTTAATCTTTATAATTTTAAATTTTACTTTTCTTTGTACAGTATATATTTAAATTTAATTTTTGATGTTTAAGTTCACTTGTATCTTCTTTATTTTATTTTATTTTTTATTTTAATTCTTGTATTTTCTTGTGTAAAACACCAATATGGTGATACTAGTTTTTTTCTCCGTTTTAAAATAAAGTTGTTATTATTATTATATTATAGTACGAAAAACAAAGATTTTCGTATCATGGCGCCAAATTATGAATAGTTTGAAAGTCCAGTTCAAAAGCAACAAATGTTTATTCATTTAAACATTTATTACCCATTGGTGTAAGTTTCTGAATTTCTTTACTTATATAAAATTTATTTAGTTTTACTTGTATTAATCTTTGTATTTATCATCAAAATCACGGCCTTGTAGAACACCTTCGGGTGATACAAGCTTTTCCGTGTTTAAACGATGCCATTATTATTATTTTATAATTATTATCTCTCCCCTATTTTATATGATAACCTTCCAGCTGACCTTCATGATTGTACAGTTGAAATTACTTAATTAATGAGTGTATCTTATATGTAAGTGCATTAATATATTTTATAAATTAGTCAAATTTATAAAAATGTATTAATATGTGTAAAATCACCTGTTAGATAGCTGACTATTTTGAATAAATTAACTGTCTGTTCTTTTGTTTATTTTTCCCCCTCTTTTTTTCTTCTTTTACTTACATTCTTTATCTGTTTGTATGGATTGAATTTGTGTTTTATTTATTTTGAAGAGGGCCCTGAATATCAGCTGACCTCTTTGGCTTAGTTGGGAGGGTAACCAGCTATAAATATGGTATAACTTTTAAACTAGACTAGAAAACAATGAGGTGTTATAAGAATATCCAATTAATAGGGAGGCTTTAATCATGCTTACTGTCTAGCCACTCGTAAAGGGCGCCAAAACATTTAGCCTTACAAACTATCCCAGCTATTTGGTTGTCTCACCTGAAATTGTCTGTGGTGGTCTGCAGACGGCGTTGCTAAAGTCCTGTTTGTTAGTAGCTGACACTGGCGAGAGATCATCTGGTTGTTCTAAAGTCAGTTGTAGCTGTCCACAAAGTCCCTCATCGGCCATTAACACACTCTTCACAAGGAGATCATCCTTCCAATATTCCTGCCAGCATATTGACCTGCCATTGCAATAATTGAAAAACATTGTGAAAGGTTGAGTGAAGCTGTTGCACCTTTCAATCACAGGGTCTTGGGTACAGGACAGGATACTGAACTGTATGTGTAGTTTGTATGTTTGCCGGTGAAAAGGAATGCTACTTAGAGAGTGATTAAGTTATGTTAAGTTGGCAATCATTGGCTCATTTAACTTTGTAAATTTTTGTTTCAATATAGAAAAAACAAAAACATTATAAATTCATAATAATCACAATCAATTGTAATTAGAGGGATGTGCTAATACTCCATCTGGGTTTTTATGATAGAACCTTGCCTGTCTTCCTAAATACCATTTAAAAACCCATAAAAACCAATTTAATCCTAATAAAGGTGTATTGTCCCACGCTAGTTATCAAAAAAATCATAAAAATATTAACTTGCCCATTTTGAAGTAACATAAAAGTTATCAACTTGAACATAGAAATTAGTGTTTTTAAAAATGTCTACCCATCCATTTACAGCAAAAAATGATAGAAACACTTCCAATCACTGGAAGTGTTTTATTACTTTTTAAATTTATTATAATTTGTTAGTTTAAAAATCACGCTAGTTAGAACATAATTTGTATGTTCTTGCAAAATGAGCAAGTTTATTTCAAACTTATTTTTTATGATTTTTTGACATTAGCAAGGGACAATACATCTTTAAATTGAAAAGCGTGCTGAATTACATTTAAGAAAACATTTAATAATAATAATAATTATTTACTAATGTTTAAAACCAGGTTTTGGATTATTTACATTTAATGACTAACTGAACCTGATTGTTAAATTTACTATCTTGGGCAACACAACCATTTATACTTGCTCCACTCTCTTTGGAATAATTGAGTCACAAAACTGGTTTACTTAATTGAGTACTAACCTTTGATGTTCTGACAAACTGCCAATACAGAAAGGCTTCTGTTTTTCGGAGAGTTTGATAACACAATACAGGCACTTCCCTTTGAGATCATCAGGCCATGTACCGTGTGAATAGACCAGAATAAAGTTTGGTAATGGGAGTCTTACACTGCACTGCTGAATTTTGCCATCCCTGAGGGTACATAGAAAAGATTGATTATCACTCCTGCCCGCATCAACAATTTGGGAAATATTGATGCGGGAATAAAAAAACTTTTTTTGCTGCATCATTTATTTCAACAGCATAAAAAAAACAATGCAATTTTGTGACTAGATATACATTTTTTTTAACAATAAAATTAAACCAGTTTTTATACAATATTCTTGCCAAATAAAAACATTCTCTCCCTCTCGAATGAAAAATACAATATTATATTGTTCCAATTAAAAAAAAAACAAAACAAAACAAACAAAAAACGCCCGTCCTCATCACCTTTTTTTTATGTGCTCTAAAATAGAACATATTTTTTATACGCCGTGGCTAGAGATACAGTACCATATTTCTACTTCGATTTGCTAAAGGTACGGTAAATGGCATTACGTCACCATCGCCCAATGAAATGCCAGAATGTGCGTGACGTCATTTTTTGAAGACTGGCATTTTGTGCATTCAAATTGTATGAATATTTTGGTGGGATTGTAAAGCGTGGTATTATTTCGAGCTTCTTGGACTAAAACTTGAGAAGTAGGGATTATGAAGTTCAGACGGTATGATCATGGAGGAACTAGGCTAAGTTTATGACTGGTATAGGCTATGCCACTTAGATCAATGTCACCAGAGCAACTGCTGCGAAAAGCAGAATCCAAGCAAAGCAGGCCTTGCTTGCTTAGATTTTTCGCCAAGCGAAGAATTTAAGCAAGGCCTAGAGGCATTCCAAGAGTTTGGTGGAATCAGTACTTGTTTGATAACGGTTATACATAGGCCTAGCTAAATGAAACTCTTTACTAAGTGGAACCATAAGCCTATATATCGATAACAGTATTAAGTCAAACAATATTGTACTTTTTGATGTTCTAATTTCCCAGTACTGTACATCGATCTCGTTTCACCGCTCATCGCGGGTGATCTTCAATATGCAATGCCAGTCTTGAAAAATGACGTCACGCACATTCTGGCACTTTATATTGGGTGATGGTGACGTAATGCCATTTACCGTACCTTTAGCAAATTGAAGTAGAAATACGGTACCGTATCGCTAGCCACTGCGTTTTTTATACTCAGGATACGGATGGAAGGCACATTGTCTGCTTCATCTTATTCTTTTTAATCTAGCTAGGCCTATCTGGTGACTTGCCTATTGTTTTTTCATATCTTTTTCTTTAATGCTATATGCATAACTCAAAATATACTTCTATTGAAGTACACTTCATTGTAAACAAAGACAAACATTTTAAATACTTCTTAAAAATTATTAAAACTAGGCCTAGCAAACAAAGTTACTGATACAACTTGGTATCAATTTCAAAATTAAACATTTTTATTTTTTATTTACAATTATTATTTAATATAGCCTAGGCCTACACCATCAGCAGCAGCAGGTCTAGGCCTATATTCCCTCCTTCAATTCACAGCTGGGCATAGTCTGTACAGTATCTGAACCTGTCCAGGCCCTGGGCTAACCTCTATTATATGAGAGATGGGTAAGTGGAGGTTGCACACGCAGAATGTGAATAGGGCCTAAGTAGGCCTAGGCCTAGGGCCTAGCCGTGGCCCTTTTTTAGATCTTATGCCTAGCCTAGCTAAAGCTTAAACGAAAAACTCTTTAGTCTACATATACAAGCCTTCTTCCAAAGCCTAGCTTGTACAACTTACAATTTAAGAAGCTGTGGTAATTGTGTAGGAGAAAATAACGCATAAAATTGCAGAACAGCCATATTAGGCACAAAAAACCCTTTTATTTCAACCTCACTCACGGTCTAAGCCAAGGAGGCCGGTCGATCTCCTTTCATCAATCGCTCAGTTTGTGGTGTTGTCAAAAAAATCGAATTTCGCGCGGGCTTGTGCAAAAACGCGAAACAATAAAATAAATAGCGCCCCCAAGTTAGTTCAGAAACTCAACTTCATAAGATCTTTGCTCAACTTTCACCATACTTTATTTACGGTATGTGTCAATTAATGTTTTCAATTGTTATTTTGTTGTTTGTATATTCTCAGACCTGTCATTATCTGGGGATAG